CCTCCCGCCTGCGGCTTGCTGGGCTGCGGGAGGCCCTGGCGAGCAGCGCGAGTGAAGTTCCCTCAGCTACATCCTGACCTTGAGCCTTTCTGAAATCCGTGGGACTCTGCGCAGGGCGTCCCACAATACGTACGGTTGAGCAAAGGGCGTTAAGTGGGGATTAACGACAACTGCTACCAACTCTATGTATTAATTCACTGCTTGACTGTTGACTTCGTTTTGATTTTTAGGAGCTTTTTGTTCAGTATTTGGCTACCTACTCCTACAAGCATGGCAGAGGCAAGGAGAAGAGCGCTCTAACTTACAGTGACCTGTCTCACACCGCGGAAGAGTGTGAAACCTTTCAGTTCCTTGCAGGTATCTGTAGAGTAATAGTGAATCCAGGATGTAGTTTGGAAAATGAAACGGTGCTGTCACAGAAGCGTTCTGTGAGGACACGATTCTCCTACTGGTTGTTAGTGTCCTGTACAGCATTCGACTGTACCTCATGAACTACATCACTGAAAACACTTCTTTGCAAAAGAATGGGTATTTTTCCAGTGCTGGGAAACTACACAAGGCCTGTTAGTCCTCTGTGTATTGCTCTATCCGTTTCTTAGATGCAAACAACGCAATCTGAAAGCTTTCAAGCCTATAAAATGAGATCACTTTAGGTCTTTCTGTGTCAACTTCTGTTATCCCAGAAACTACAGATGTAAATCTACAAATCTTAATTCTCAAAGAGAGTCATTCTCTGGTTCCACTCCCCCTTTTTAGTGTGTAAGTATATGTGTGCACGCACATATACATTTTTTGCTGGTACTGAGATTTTTGTTTTAACACTTAGCTCAGAAAAGATATGGGAAAAGGATATGGGTTGAGGATGAGATGTACCTAGCCCAGTTTTTCTCCGAGCACCTTATGGGCATGCTTTCAGAGCATGCAGTCCTGTTTTGTCACAGGTCCATCATTATTGCCCTGAACAATACCTTCCTTGAGTACAGAAAAACAATTTCCACAGAACATAAATGGGATGGCTATCCAGTTAAATGAGCACTCATTTTTATTTGATGTAAAAGTAAAATGAAGTGATTAGGTAGTAAAGAGAGTGGTCTGTAATCAGTTTTATAACATATATTCCTCATCTTTGATTACTTGTACCTTAAGTGGGCAATTCCCTCCTTTTCTCACAGCTTGTTCATAAGCCAGAGTGAATAATCTGGTTAGTCGCTAAAAGTATAATAACTTTTCAAAATTGCCTCTGTTGGACTTTGTTTCAGTAATGATATGGATGCAACAGTATTTATGAGATAATTTAAGTATTCAAACTTTCTATAGAAGAAGCAATTCTACCTTTCAGATATCTTACCAAAGAAGATCCTCGCTAGCAAATACCTAAAAATGCTTGAAAAAGAGAAGCGAGATGGAGAAGTGAGGGAAAATGACGAAGAGGATGAGGAGGAAGATGATGATGAAGAAGAAAGTGTTGAAGATGTTGGATCTTAAGGCTAATGGAGAATTATAGTTAATCAATTTTCTGTTGTATAAAGGATGCTATTTTTGTGACTGAAAATCCATATGCTGGATATATTTATACACTGAGCCATCTGCTTTTGCTTTAAGAAGTTTAGAAATTGAACTTTATCCCTGCTGAAGAATGGAATTCTTCTCTCAGACGCATGATGGGGAAAGAAGAGTTGTTGTAAATCTGACAGCAGAACTTGCTCAGACGATTTAAAATGACTTCTTCAGACAATCGTTATCCAAATTTAAAACGTCTTATGGGCAATGCAGCTTTCAGTCCAAAGGCTCTTTCTCCCTCCAACCAGGAGTCCTCCACCACTTTCTCTTTCCTCAGAGAGGAAAATGAGGGGAGGAGAGACTTCTTACGCAATGTCCTCTGCCTCCCTAAGTAGACAATAACTGATCAAACCTTCCCCCAGTTCTCTGGAAACGTGCCAGGGCATTAGCAGTGGACCAAGCCCATCTAAAACAAAACAAAACCCCCCAAAAACCGCTTCTGTAATGCAGCTTAAATAGCCACGTCTGCACAGAAATGAGCTAGAGGTTCAGATCCATTCCGATAGCTGATGTGGCTCTGCGGCCAGCAGTAAAAAGTAGATGTGTTAGATAATGATGTAAATATGTATATCTAGAATCTTTTTTTCTAGTGAAGTCTCTACTTCTGCAATTTGTCTGTGGTTTCCTACCAAAATGGACATTGTTTTAAGTTTATTGAATGTGGATTGTTGAGTGGCAAGAGAATTAGCAACTGTTTTACCATTTGAGCGGTAGAGCTGGATTTTTTCTTTTTTTTTTTTTTTAAACTACAGAAATGGTGACAGTCCTGTGTAGAACTTTGTATGCAACTTTTTAAGGAAAATAAATGTTTTATATGAAAAGTGACAGTTAATGCAGAGGCTTTCTACAGTTCTTTCCAGCTTCAGTCACGTCCCTGGTTAACGTATGAGCCTAGTATGCTTGCTGTTCATCTTTCCAGAAAGGAAAGGGGGGGGGGGGGGGGAAAGTGCGATGCTTGGAGCAATCGTCTGAGGTGTTCTCTATTAGCAATGCTAACTAGATTTAGTCTGCTTTGGGAGCCTCACCACTGTTAGCCAAGGGTCTCTCTAATGTTTAGTCAGAAAGAAACTGAACTGACTAACATGTCTCTCTAGATGGAGGGAGGTTAAGAGAAGAATGCTTCTTGTGTTCCACTACCTACCTCGCAGACACTTACCGAAACCAAGCTCTGTTCTCCCTAAGCATGGAAAAAGGTTAAGGAACTAATTCTCCACATCCAATAAGCCAGGCAGCAACCTGCCCTTAACCAGGAAATGAGAGGTGTCATACAACACACTAATTTGGATGGTATGGCAAAGAGTTGCCTGCTAATTATTCATGCTGTATCCTCCCTGTCAGGATAACACTACCAGCTTGTCCCAGGCTGAAGGCTCAAGTATGCTGACCTGCTATTGAAATGCAAGGCAGAAAGCTCTGGCAATTGCATAATCTGGCACATTTTGTTCTAACAATGCAAAAACGGGGGTGAGACAGGTAAGATCAGTGACTGGCAGAGGAACAAAGCTGCTAGGCTGCAAAAGAAAAGTTCTTATTATCTTACAAGATCAAAGTATGTTGCACTATAAAAGCTTTTTCCAAAGTTACCATAACCCAAAATCGTATTAGGAACAGTGCAGTGAGAGGTAAGGGATGCTTTATCCATAGAGAAATTCCCAAGCCATATGCAGAACTATACTATTGTTGAAGGGTTTATTTGTTTTTATTTTTTAATTATTAAAAGTGCACGGAGAGCTGTGGGAAACTTTGGGGGCTGAAAGGTGTGTTTTTGGGGACATGCTCACGCTCAAAAGCTGTTGAACTTACTTAACTGTTTGGCTCAGTTTTAGAAGACCTGGGGTTTTGCCAGGCGTAGATCATAAGGGCCAATATCAGTGACTTGATGGTAAAGGTGCCCAAGCAGCCCTGCGTGGAGGTGAGCACCTCCCATTGCTCGCAGTTTGCAGGGGACTGATCATGGCTGGATTTTGGCACTCCAGACGAGCTGCTGCTCAGCTTGCCAAGTGAGCGCGCCCACTGACTTTCGTTAGGTGATGCAGCAGCACCGCTGTTGGGCACTGTATCAAAGCCCCAACGCATTCATCAGCCAGGCGCTGCTCTGGCGAGTAGGAGATCACATGCCTGGAAAGGAGCGTGTCAGCATGATCAGCCAATTTGTCCAAGAAAAAAAAGCCTGACCCCATGCCCCAGTACACACCCGCCCATGCTGACACAACTAGGAGCACTGAAAAAACAAATGTTCACTGGGGACATGTCAGATCCTGGCCAGTTCTGAGAGGGGCGCCTGCAATCGGAAGGGGAGCATACTGCGGGAGCCAGCAGAGGTAAGCACCGTACTGGGCTTGTTCAGTACCATCATATCTTATTGTGGAATAAGATATTATCCGTGTATCCAGGCTACTGCCACAACTGGCAGAGCTGTCCCTAGACACGAAGAGCCCACAGCGGCAAAGCACCCTGCTTCGTTGTCCTGCAACCCCATTCCCCAAGCCCTTCTGCGTCAAGAACAGTCTTGTGCCATCTAGCAGCTCTGCCTCGGCTCTTGGACCAGCCTCCCTCGCTCTTGATTTGAGTTGTGAGCAGCATATACATATCGTCCCAACGGAAGAGTCACCCTCCTGAAGGATGCTGGCCACTTGGTCCGTGATGCGCACGTGTCTTGGGCAGTCTTGGAGCCCTCTGCTGCCACAGCAGACACCAGCAATGGTTGTGCTGCTTTCTAAGGGTGGTGTCCTCCCCAGAGCCTGCAGCTGCTGCTTCCCTCTTTTGAGAACGAGGCCCATTGCTCCCTCAGAAAGCACCAAGACTTCACGGGTTCTGCAGCCGGCTTGTCTGTAACAGCTCCTCCTCTCCTCCCTGCCTACTTCTGCAAACCGTGTCAGACACCTGAGGAGACACCTCGGAGATATGTCCAAGGCACAAGAATAAGCAAGAAGACAGAGCTCTACCCTTGGCCATGAAGTCCTGAGACGAGGCTCATGCATGCACCCCACGGTGCATGCATGCAACGCTGTCCGTAGAGTGGGACGTGCCCTTTCCGCAAGGCTATGCAGCCTGCGACAAGCCAAACTGCTTAGGAACAGGCGTGGTACGAAACAGGTCCTTGTGCTGGCCCAAGCAGCCAAGCCAGCCTTGCTGATGGGCAACTGAATCTGCAAAACGTTCACCAGGGCTGGGGGGAGCGAGCAGAAACGTTGAACAAGATCCTGCCTCCAGCCTCTACGTAACGGGTATCGTTGAGCGTCCTCATAGAGCCAATGTGCAAATCCTTCTGCGTGGCTATTCCCGGCCACCACTGCTCCCACCAGCAGAGCCGTTAAGCTAACACGTGCGTGACCCTAACAGCATTGCACCCCAACGGATCAGCCTCGTCCCTGCAGTCTGTGCCCTGGCATCCCTCTCTAGGCACACTCTTCTGATGGTGCTTTCCCTCCGCCCTGCCTTTACTGCTATGTCCTATCTACAGCAAAACCGATATGGACACCAAGAGATGCCCGAAAGTGCTAACAAAGCGCTAATGCTAACACTGGGTCACGCGCTACAGGAAATACATTGCAAGCGACATCAGACATGCAAGCACACTAACTAGCGCAATAGCCCAGCAGCCTGCGATTTCCAAGTGCCATCTCCCAGGCTACACGTAGCCTGCCTTTATTCCATGCGGTAAAACAAAAGCTGGATTCGTGGGGTATTACAAAGCGCAGGCTATAAACCACGTTCTTTAACAATAATTTCCCTAGGTGGGCCCAAAAGCACCTTAGGACCATAGTATCCACTATGTCCCCGGGTCTCCACTGCCACTGAAGGTCACTAGTGGACACCGCAGCACTTGCGCTTGGAGTCCAGCTCCCAAGTAAGCCGGATGCTGAGGAACATGAGCTGGCCTCCTCCGGGCAGCTTTCCACAAAGGCTGCGTTAATAACTTGTGAGATCCTCCTCACCCAAGCTGCCTGAAGGAGACCACAAGTTCCCATCTCCCTAGGTTTGCAAAAACGCCAAAAGGACCACGGTTCCTAAACGTCATTCATCCTATTGCATTCCTCCGAGTCTCCTGGGACACGACGAGCACGCGCTGCCACTCGGGGAGCACGCAAGAACTTGAACGCTCTTCTCCATCAATTCAGCCAGAAGTCTCCACGATGACTTTAGAGGTGCCAGAGTTTGCCATAACCAGCGCCAGGGCTTGCATCCGCCAAGCCCTACTGTTTTTTGCGTTTCCCCTGAAGTTTGACACGGGGCAAGACGTCCAGCGAGGAGCGGCAGTACCTCAACGCAAGGAGAAAAAACAAAGCTCCGACTGAAACGAGAAGGACCGTCGTGACTCCTGAATTCATATCGTTGAATAAAAGAGCAGCTCCCCTGGCCGGGGGTCTCTCCTCGGCTCTCCCCGCGCACCCGATCGCTGCGGAAAGCGTCCGAGGTTCAATAAAAAGGCATTAAACAGAAGCTTGTAAAGATGAGGATTTTATTTTATTGACATACTATGAGGCAAAACAAAATTGACACCATACAAAATAACTTTATAAAATATCATTCACATCATTATTTTTGTCAGGAATTACAGCATTCTGAGCTTGTTACAAGTCTTATGTTTTGAGGTGAAAAACACTATGCTAAGTCTTTAGTATTAGTTGTATATATATATATTTATATATATACACAGTAAGAAACCAAAACAGAAACTGTTAGGTTTTTCATGAGTTTATTGCAAAAGTAGTGCAAACTATTTTACCTTGCAAGCTGTAAAACAAACTCGGAAAAGGACCCACCTAAGCTTAAAAACAGGACAATAAATGCTCAATTTCACAGCCTTAGAAGCTTCCTTCAACAGTTCCCAACAAAGAAATTCCCCATCTCTGCACCTTTTTTTAGATTTTCACCGACTCGGAAAGGAAGAAGTAAAAGACACGCTTGCTCAAACGCCCGACCGGGCCGTATCTGAGAAAAGAGTCACCAAAGCCGTACGAGCAGGGGGGAGGGAGAAAAAAAAATTACTAAAAAACAAGGAACATGTATTGTCTGTTTTAGAAATATAGTATCCTTTTCCTGAAGCCTCCTATGTAAAGCGTATGTATGTCCTCGTGGTCCCCCTCCCCTCCCGCACGACGCAGGGCGAACCGCACCCCCCGCCGACTGCGTTCAGCCCGGGCAGGATACTACTTCCTATGAGATCGACGGAAAACGACGGTCTAAACGCTACCGGGGTTCCCAAAGCAAAACAGGTAGCTCGGGATAGCCTTAAAAAAAAAAAAAAAAAAAAAAAAAAAAAAAAAAAAAAAAAAAAAAAGCAAACAAATGCTACATGAAAAATGTTAAAGGAACAAAATGCAGCATATTCAGGCTCTTTTTTTCCCCCCCCTCCCTTCTCTTGAGGTACCTATATAAATATTACCTTCTGCCCAAAGCACTACCGGTTTTGTTAAAAAAACAAAAAAATTAAAAACAAACCTAAAGTCCTTACCATGAGCCAATTGCAGGGCATCCGTTACTATTGAGAAAGTGCAACCATGCTGATAATTTATATGCAGCATATTAAAGGATGATTAGGCTTTAGAAAATATAGCTTAAGTACAGACCTGATGGAGCAGTTTTATATTAAAAAAAAAAAAACACCCTTTTAACAGAGGCATTTTCCTTTTCTTTCTTTGAGCGTCTCTGCAGCAGAAAGCCGTAGGAAGCGGCTCGGAAGCCCTGCTGCTAGGGAATGTCAGCACTTGTACTAGTCCACGTACAGATATTTCTTCCATATTTAAAGTAAATACAATTTACAGAACGGATTCCCCACCCCTCATCTTCCCCCCTACGTTCGGTACTGGTAAAAAG